CCCCTCCCCTCTAGAACCCTGTTTGTTTTTCAGAGTCCATCGTCTCTCATGGTTCGTCTACCCCTCCGATTTCCCCTGCTTCATTCTTCCCCTCCTGCTATCTTCTTCTTCTTCTTCTTTTTTTAACATATAATGTATTATTTGTTTCAGAGGTACAGATCTGAGATTCAACAGTCTTGCACAATTCACAGCGCTTACCAGAGCACATACCCTCCCCAGTGTCTATCACCCAGTCACCCCATCCCTCCCACCCCACCCCCCACTCCAGCAACCCTCAGAGGGTAGTTTTTATAGAAGGTGAGAGACATTCTTTTTTCTTCCTGAATTAAGAAGTCATGTATTCTTTATCAACTAGAATATATTTGAATATCCTATTTTTTTTTTTTCATTTTTCTGGTCTTAGTGTCTGTCTCTCTCTCTCTCTTACATTTCTAGAAACTTTATATAACTAATAATAAAATCACAAGCCTTCCTTCACCAGAAAGAGCATCATATCATGTTAATGAACTTTTGGTCTCTTTTCCCAGAATTATCTAGGTATCATGCTGCTATTCATTTGTCTTGAAAGTTTAGCGCAGATGATTTCAATTGCAAAAAGAAAAAAATCTACAGTTTTTACTTCTGTTCCTCATAGTCCATGACCCATTTCTGTCTTTTATCTAAGCCCATGAAAATGGCAAATGCCTACTTGTCATCTGCAATTCAATACCAATCCTACCTGTTTGATTCAAAGGATGTTTTGACTTTCTCATTGATAACTCACCAACATCAGTTTGCACTTAATTTTGAAATTCACTGACTATTGTGCAAGCTCTCCTTTCCATTATTTATTATAACCAAGTTTTTTGATTTCTCCTAATCATTAGTCAAGAGAGGGAGGCTAGTGAGGTGTCTAGGTACTTCCTAAAACATTTAGGCCTATGGTTCTGCTTTAACAGGGATACTTATCTGTGGCCAAATGCTTCATTTTAATTTAAATAATCTGTAATATTAAGTCAGGCAGTTTATCACACAATGGATGATTTTTTTTTTTAAAAGGATAGTGAAAACATTTTGGTTATTTTAGTCTTTGGTCCATGATCTAAGGACAGTGCTATTATAACAGTAAAATAAATTCTATGTGCAACTAAGACAAAAATTTGTGTGCTATCATGTGCTTATCCTCCCCACTCCCCACCTCACCCCCATCGGTGCCAGGTACGCTGTAATCATGGAGACAGTAGGGCCTGGACACTCTGGCCAGCAGCACCCCCACCTCTTTCTCTGCACTGAAAAAACAAGTTACAGAAAGTATTATAACAAAACTCATACATTCAACACTAAAATTATTAATGTTGAAGTTTGATTCAGGTTATTTTCATTAAAAACAAAGCCTTTGTATGATTTCCTGAAGTCCAAAGGGAAAAAAATCTTGTTAATTTCCTTTGACTCTCTTTCTATTGAATAGAGAATATTACAGTATCTTATCATTTCAGAGTTCATTGCTTTTTAGATTGTATTTCACATAACATGTAGATTTCTAGAACTCTTCATTACTTGAAAAAAGTAGTAATAGTATTCAAAAATACATTTTGACATATTAACACATGGCTGGTCAACCCAGACTTTTAAATAGAATAATGTTATTAATATATGATAGAAATATGCAATGATAGAATAAAATAGAATTCCTTTACCCTAAATCTCTCTCATTAGTCTATTGTATAATGCTAGGAAATAACACTCTCTGATAGGTAATACATATGGCAAATTTTCTATGGTATGTTTCAAAATAAAAGGTCAGATTTAGTGAACTTTTAGAGGTTTATAAGTTCTGGCTTATAATGATCAAGTTTATCTTCTTGTTCTGTACTAAGTGATGCCCCAAATGAGTCTACATTTTGAAAATTTTTGTTCTCAGACTAAAAATCATCTTTTTTTTTTTTTTTTACATAGTTAATGATAGAAGGCAGTGAAATCTGTGCTTTTCTTATTTTAGTTCTGATCCTGGAGAAATGTTATCTTTTTGACTTACTACCTGTCATTATCAAATATTCCAAGTCAATATATTGTGGATTATAACTTGTGTTTGTGGTTTTTTTACCTCTTTTTACTGTGATACTCATGATAGTAGAATTTGCTAAGTTATCCTCTTAGTTGAAGCTCATTAGTAAGAGGATAATAGGCATAACAGTCTTTTATAAAGTATTATTTTTCCTAAGATTTAGGTAAAACAGGGAAAAGAGAAGATAACCCTTCTGCTTAAAAATTATTTTACTCTAGACTGATGAATCACTGGTCTGTACCTCTGAAACCAATAATACATTGTATGTTAATTTAATTTAAATTTTAAAATGTTAAAAAAATTATTTTACTCTAACAGCATAGTACTCAAGTTTAACATCTGTTTAAAGTTGCCCAAACAAGCTTCACATCTTCCTATTATTTTCTTTTTCTTCCTATTATTGACAAAAAGTATTCCCAAAGGTCTCAATAAGGCAGGTGATTGAAATGTGTCAAGATGGTTTTTGATAGTTCTAGTGAATAACTAATTAAATGGTCTTAATTTATATGTTTCTAAATCAGACTATTTATTTCATTAGTTGATTAGTGTTTAACTTTTTTATAATCAACTTTAAATGAGTATCAATGAATATTTACTAGCAGATGTAATGCCATTAAATCCAGACATTAAAAAAAAATTAAAGCATTAAAGAAATATCAACTATCTAAGCATTCAGTTTTATATGATGATTACCTGGCCTAATTTACCCAAAATTGTGTGCTAGCCAAATTATAATTAAATCATTTCACTAATTCCAACGCTTAAAATAACTGATCATCTTATTAAAAATGAGTAATTTAAAATTACTTTGTTACATTTTTCACTTATAATCCCATGAGCATTTCACATGTAATTTTGTAAAAAGGCCCTAAAAACCAAATTTGAAATTCTATGTTATGTTCTTTTTATGTTCTAAGTTAGCAGACAGTTTCCCTTTTGTTGGATAGCACAGTGATTGACACATTGTAATTACTGAATTTTTACATTTTTATTTTCTAGTTGAAAGGGTCTGAATTTTTAAGAGTATGCAGTATGTATTAAATTTGATATATCTAGTGTATGTCTATGTATTTATAAGTGTGTAAATATATACATGTGTATATCTATACACTACATGCGAGCAATCTATATGCATACTTAGCTTTCTAAATTCTACCGAATATTCAACAGGATCAGATTGCTAATTTGATAGGCAAGAGTCATCTCTTGTTATTGTTTATACTGAACTTTTTCACTTCAAGGAAAATTGTTGCTGAATATTGATTATGGATATTAATTTTGTGAACTGTCTTTATCCTTTCCTCTAATTATTTACTAGGGTTGCATTACTTTCAAATTTGTAGAGCTCTTAATGCACTGAAGATATTATTTTTTTTACCTGGCACTTAATGGAAATATTTTGCCAGTGTGACATTTGTGCAGACATTTGAAGTTTTATGTAGCTGGATCATAATCCTCTGTGTGTGTGTGTGTGTGTGTGTGTGTGTGTGTTTAGTTTGGAAAATCTTTTTATATTTCAAGGTAGTCTAAGTATTTGTTTGGCTTTTATTTTATATGTACCATTTCATCTTTTTAAATTTGCTTTTTATCTAGAATTTATATTTGTATATATTAGAAGGTTCAGTTCTCATTTTTTTCCATAGAATGTTTCTCTTTTTTTTTCCACTCATGAACTAATTCATCAATCATTGATTTTTATATTTTCTTTTTCATATTTTGACATTTCACAACTGTCCACTACATATCATTCATTTATATTTTGAGTCTTAAATCATTGTCCCATAATTTGGGTTAAATTTTACAATATGTTTTAATAACCCACTAGGGTGTTACTCTCCTAATATATTCTGATTCTTATCAGTTTATTCTCTCAGATAAAATGTATGTAGTTTTTTTTTTTTTCAGTTTCCTAAACAAATATGAATAGCTTTTGATTGAGATTGGGTTAAACCCGTAAATTTGTGTGGGTAGAACTGAACACTTAATAATTCTATAGAATTCGGTCTTCTTAATCAGGGACATTGTAAGGCCATCGGTAAGGTCTTACCATTTTCTGTATATGGTTAAAAACATTTCTTGGTAATGTTGTTCAAAAACATATTACTTTTTGTTGCTATTGTGAACAGTTTTTTTATTGTGTCTACTAAGGGGTCATTGCTATTGTATAGAAAAGCTAACAAGGTATATTAATATGTTGAGTAGTCTGTCCTGTTCATGTGCTAGCTTATTAGTGATGGGGAGTTCTTCCACTGAGACACATGAATAGTAAGTATACTGGATAGATGAATAGAATTTTATTTCTCTCAGCCAATATCTTGTATTTTCTTAGTATTCTTCTAGTTACATGTTATTTTTAATAAATATCATGCTTTATAAGCAAAGTAGCTCAGGGCTATTACAATTATGGGACTAGCTTGATAATGTTTTATAGGTTTATGAAAATCTGTATTTTGTGACCTTGGGGGTGTATTTCACATTAGATCATTTCACTCCTTAGAACGCTCATATTTTTGTGATATTATCAAAACAGAACTAAAAATGATTGAAATATTTTGGCCTTCTCATTTTTATCATTCATGACAGTAAATTAAGTTATGCTAATGATTTATTTAGCATATTTTCTTAATAAGCTAGGAGCTTAATGGCATGTAAAAAGCTTAACCCATGTTAACATCTTTCTAGGATGTTCCTGACAAAGAACCAGAAAGCTGTAGATTAGCAGACTCTTCTATCACACAGTGATATTAAAATATCTTTGAAACAACTACCAGTTGAAATATTAGCTATCAGACCAGAGGTTATTATTACTTTTGGTGTATTAATTTATTCATGATAGCTACTTAATACATTCATATTAAAACATAGATTTCAAAAAAGTATTCTTTAGAAGAAAGAGTAAAAATATTCGCCACATAAAATAAGTGTCATTGAATTTACGGTAATTATTATATTACAGCTCATGGGGCATTCAGAATGGGACCACAAACGAGGGGCAAGAGGATCACAGGTAAGTTTATTTTCCTTTCCGTTTTTTTGAATTTTGTTTCTTAACATTTTGAGCCATGAGTCTTCTAAAACTCAAGCAATAACAAGTAGAGAGAGGAAGAGGCAAATAATCATGCCATTTGTTTTTATTTAAGTTAGCTGTGATTAAAGTCTGGTTTCAAATCCCAGAGGCAGATGCCTGTATATTCTTCCTGAGAGCTTTCTGGTATCCCAGATTGGTTGTGTTTATATGAATGTAGATTTTATATTCATCTTGTCTCTGCACAATACATTTTGATCAGCAACCCACTCTCTTGCTTTCATTCACTTCCTTTGATAATTTTTCTATGTATTTTCTTTCTTTCTCTATCTTCCTGTTTTTGGTTAAATATTTTGAAACATAATCAAAGTAAACCCTGAACTAATTACAGATTCTGTCTCCAAATTAACTGTCTTCGTCTTAGGGAAATAGAAAGATGAAAGGACCTATTATTTTTGAAAAGAAACAAATTCTGAACCTTTCTATATTACCAGATTGTTTTCATTGTCTTACTTTATGTCTTAGGCAAGGGGAAAAACTTCCATGACGCATCTATGCTTTTTAATGACCTAATTAGACAATGTGGATTTGTTTTGCTTCCATAATTACTTTGCCTGACAGAATGAGGGCTGAGTTTTATACGAAGAAAATTCTCTCTCTTCCTGCGGTATTTTGTGAAGAAAGATGAAAATCCTTTATCTCTTAGCAGCCTGTGTGTTTACCTGATTGTAGACAGCCAAATAAAAATTAAGTGGGTGGGATATTTTTACCTCTCCTGCTCACACTTTCTGTTTGCTACTAAAAAATATGGCTAAAAGAAAGCAAGCTGAATATACAGTACTGTATGTGAGAGTTCATTATCGAATGTGAGATTCTCCCAGGTTTTTTACAAAGCTGACATGGACCTGTGCTGTCACTAAGTTTGCCTGGTGGTTATTAATTGAGGTCACTGGGAAAATAAAACCCAGTCAGTCAGTTGTTTTAAGTTGAGATTTTAATAGCCGTGGTTTTATTTTTATCCATTATCAACTTGATTAGTAGGTAATATAAACCAGTCCAATTAAGCTAGTTATCTGAAAGAATTTGTCTTGCCTTCCTTCACTCTTACTTCCCTTTTCCATTTTCTCTGTCAACTCTCCCTCTATACACACCTGTAATATTTTAAGTCAGAATTTGCTGCAAGATTGGGAATGAAATGATGAATGTATGGTAAATGCTATGTGCTTCGAAACCAATGAAAAACTAAAGATGAGGGGCACCTAGGTGGCTCAGTCGTTGGGCGTCTGCCTTCGGCTCAGGTCATGATCCCAGGGTCCTGGGATCGAGCCCCACATCAGGCTCGGCGGGAAGCCTGCTTTTCCCTCTCCCACTCTCCCTGCTTGTGTCCCTCTCTCGCTGTGTCTTTCTGTGTCAAATAAATAAATAAAATCTTAACAAAACAAAAACAAAAACTAAAGATGAGCACAAGAAATTCAGCAGTTCTTCATTATTGCCACCAAAAACATTTTGATATTCAAAATATGCCAAGTAACTTCAGGACGACATGCCCTTTCAAAGTAAGGTAGTGCTATATATGTTTGTTTAAAATAAGTATTATTTACTCATATGACCTGTTTGGGTTTTTTCCAAGTTTTTATTTAAATTCTAGGTAATTAACATACAGTATAATATTGGTTTCAGGGGTACAGTATAGTGACTCAACACTTCCATACGACACCTGGTGCTCATCACAGAAAGTGCCCTCCTTAATCCCCATCACCTATTTCACCCATTCTCCCCCTCCCGCCCAGTCCCGCCAACCCCTGCCATCTCCCCTCTGGTAACCATCACTTTGTTCTCTAGAGTTAAGAGTCTGTTTCTTGGTTTGCCTCCTCTTTCTTTCCCCATCCTCCCTTTGCTTGTTTGTTTTGTCTCTTAAATTCCACATATGAATGACATCATATGGTATTTGTCTTTCTCTGACTGACTTATTT